GGGGGAACGGGGGCTGAGCGGGGCTAGGAGGGCGGGCAAGGAGATGAGGGCTGATGTAACGGGAGAGCGGGATGGTGGGAGGGATTGGGGTGTGATGGGATAGTTGGGGAGTCCAGAGGACGGGAGGGGTACTGGAAGGCTGGTGGGGTAACGGAGTGGTGAGAGGGGCAGACGTTGGGGCAATAGGATGGAGCAGGTTTGGGAAGATAGGGTAATTGGGAGTAAGAGGAGAGGAAGGAGAGGAGGGTTTGGGGTGAGAGGATGGGGGCAGGGGTAAAGGAGGTGCGGTGTGGGTGAAGAGCTAGTTGGGTAGATAGGGAGATTGGGAGGGGCCGGGGCTAGGGGAGGACTGTCAAGTCCAGATTCGGGCTGTGCGGAACTGTAGGGGGTAAGGTGTCAGATTGTGTTTGGGGGAGGTGTTTTCTGTCCCCCTACCTCACTCCCATTGGGGCATGGTCCCTGGAGAGGGGGAGCCCTGAGCTTCGGGTTCCAGGGAGAGGAGGGGGCGGGGTTGAGGCAGAGGGGACGGGGGAGGTGCCCCGAGGTTGGCGCTGGTCGCGGTTTCCCCCGAGCGGCTGGAAGCGAGGTCAGCGCTGGCGCGGGCTCCGGCTGCGGGACTGGGAGGCGGGGCAGAGAAGTGGGCTGCGGGTTTTCCGCTGCGGGAGCTGGAGGGGTTGGGCCCTGAAGGCCGGGTGGGTGTTTTGCGCAGGGAAGGTGTCGGGGTCCCTGGATTTGTCAGTCTGTGACGCAGTTTTCTAATTTTTGGTTGTCAGGTGTGGAGGCTGGTGCTTCGGGACCCGCTTTCCTGCAGGGAGCACAGGGCAGGAGGCCCCGTGTAGCGCCTGGTGGGGCGCGACCGGTCCTGGGCGTAAGGGGAGAGCGCTTTAGGGGTTTCCTTTAGGGTCTGGCTCCTCTCGCCGGGTGTGAAGGGGAAAGGCGGTCTCGCGGAATTCTGGGACTTGTAGTCCTGGCGGCGGTTGGGTTGGGTGCACGTGGGTAACTGTGGAAACGAGTCCCAGAATGCAGCGCGCCCCTCGGAGCCTCCCTTTTCTGCTAACTCTTGCTTTATTCCTGGCGGATCCGAGAGCGCTCTCAGGAGTCTCTCCTGTCCCCTGGGACTGGAAATGGTTTACTGGACCTTCTCCCTTTGTCAACGGGGTGGGGAGAAAGAACCAAGGAAGTGTAGTTCTTTCACACTTGGTTCTTGATCCCAGAGTTGATTATTTCCCTCTGCATTTGGTGGCTTTACTTGTAGAATAAGTGATTAGTCTTGAACCATCTAGCACATAGGTTGTGGGAAAAACACTGAAAGTGCAACACAACATAAAGCAGTGTTTAAGATGGTGTATTTATTGTGGCGTCTATTGGTTGTAAACACTACGTAAAAAGATTAGGTCTTACATAAATCTGGGAATGCAGTGGAGCACTTGTGAAGATATAAATTATGTGTTTGTATTTCTTGGGCTGTCTGGATTGCTCAGGGATGAGGGGACTTTCTGAAAAGAGATGGTTTTGAAATGATTTGAGTGATGGAGGTCGCATAATAGAATTTAGGGTGGGATCTAGGGTGGTTTCATTCATGAAGCCACCATGAAAATGTAAAGATGAATAAAGGGAATATATATGATGTCTTCAATTTTCAGACCCGTGGGAAGCAAATAAGAATAGAGGAAGATAAACTCAGTGGAGGGCCTTTAGAGGTTTACACTTTTTTTGTTTTTGATTTCAGCTACAGCCTATAATTCCGTCTAGCTGCTTTTTAGTATTAGACCATCCTCTTAGTCTGTAGACGCCCCAAACCTCATATCCTTTGCGGATTCCCTTTACCATTTATATGCAATGATTAAAAAAGTAATGTAGAGAGCCACAAAATTAGCTTAGAGATATGTGATATATAAGGTATTTTGAAACTGTTGGTAGCATAGTCACTAGAAGAATATTGTAATGACCCTAATGATAAACATTTTACCAAAAAGTCCTAAGATTTGGAAACCTTCTAGTATGGTTATAAATATACTGAACTTGCGTACCTGATTCAATGATGGTTCTTTTCTTAATGGCTGAAAAATTGGGCAATGTGTGGTTTTTTGGGGAACATAGTTTATATCTATCTTATATATTGTTTAAGTTTGTGGTGAAATATCCAGGAAGCCCTTTGCAATATGTACATATGTAATGTGGACATGGTTTTTAAAAGGTGGTAAGTGTTAACACTGGAATTTGCTCTTGTAAAGGATAAAACGTATGAGATTGAAAAACAAGAATTGTAATTACGTATCTTCAAAATGGTGATTTTTTTTAAAAGAAAATATTAGGCTAGTCATTTCTTCTTTACCTTTTGCTTTATCTTGCATTCCAAAGGGCAGATGCCCTTTACACACAAATACGACCCACTTTCTCTCCTAGCCCTCCAAACCCTAGGCTTCTGTACATTATCAGCTTACACTTTCTTCTTCGGTTTTTAGATTCCTCTTTGATTTTTGGCCTTTGGGGAGGTCTTTTATTTTCTTGTGAACTTAGCTATGCATTTAAACAGATCTTTCTTATATTTTACCCAGAATTTTTGGACTCTTTTACATGGGGAAGGATTTTAGGTTATCTTGTCTAGAACATTGCCAGAAAAGAAAGTCTCCATCATTTTCTCCACCTTGGATTACTTCTGTACATTTACTCTTTTCTTTCACTGTTCCTGCCTTCAAGAAGTGCCCCTATTAACACTTGATCACATTTTGTCAAATGTTATTTATCATGATATCCTTTTCTGTTCTTATCTTTAGCTGTTCCCGGAAGCTCATATTAGCTTATTGGTTTCTTGTGACCATAGCACATGTGTGCATTATTCTCAATCATCATCATCATCATCATCTTTTTAATTCAGCAGTTTAAAAATCGCCTGTCAGAAACTGACCTTCTGATGACCTATTGTGTCAGGATGCTTTTGGCAAGTAACAGTACTGAATTAAAAATGGCTTAAAAAAAAAGGCTTTACATCCTTTTACACTCTTTACATCCTTTTCCTCCTTTATTCTTATTATTTTGGCTTATTAAAAGTCTCAGGCTCATTACCTCATGTTGGCAATGTGGTTGCTGCAGCACCAGACATCATGCATATATCTTCATGCATATGAAGAAAGTGAGGCAAGAAGTTTATTTACTTACATCTCCCTCTTAACAGAGAGGTCTTTTCCAGAAGGTTACCTTGGCTACTTCCCCTTCAGTTTCACTAGTTAGAACTGATCTCATGCCACTGCTTCTTGGAGGGAGGTTGAGAAAGTGAAATTGGGCATTTTCCAGCTGTTGTGGCATATGGCCTTTGCTAGGGTGGAAAGAAGGGTGAGAATGCTCTGGGTTGGCATCCTACAGGTGTACCTCTGAACCAGCTACTTTGTCTCTGCCTTGGTCTCAATGTTTTTTGTCTGTGAATTTATTTTCTGCCTCGTTCTAAAATAATTAGAAGTGACCTACAAAATGTAGGTAAAATCCTGTCAAGGGAAGGAATATCAACAATAGATTCACAGGCTACACATAAATGCTTGCCATACATTAGAAATAGGCCAATGTACTTGGCTGTGAGCTTCCTAGTAGGCAAAACAAAGAGGAAGACAAGACCAATTTTATTCATTTGATTAATGAAACTACAGTTCATTTAATAACCTAAGCTGAGAGCATAGACATTTCTCTTCCTCTTTCCTTGGTCAGTAGTGAAAGAGAGGCTGGATCTGTTCCCATGCCTGTCTTCTCTTTCCTGTACCTCTTGGCCATCATCCTGGGTCTGATCCATCCTTTCATATGTTGTAATAACCAGTAATCCTTTGGCCAAACTCAACCTCCTCTGCCTTCTCTATCACCAGCTGAATCCTTATGATTCTCTTACCCAGAAAACTGGAGGGCTTCCAGTTGCTTACTGAAATACAGACTTCTCAGAACCTGGGGTTGGACCAGCTTCTGTAGTTTAAGCTCATTTTCTTCCCCTTGGACTGCTCTTTGCCTACCCACTGCCCTCAGTGCTACTTCTGATGGAACTTTTCTTTATTAACTTCCTTGTTCCCTTGCTAGCAGACTCTCTTTCTCTCCATTGAATCTCCAAAATACTGTTTACTTTTGTTCTCAATTTTATCTTATATAACAATAACTGCTTGTTTACTTTTTTGTCCCCTCTGCAATTAGGTTATTACCCTCTTGAGATCTGGGACTGTGTCTTAGTATCCACTTTATTGTCCAGCATGATGTCTTGCTTAGGTCCTCGTATATGTGCTGAATTGAACTTAACTGGTCAACTCATGAACAGTTCGTGAATCATCTGGAAAATTTTAATTCATCCTCCAGCTATGCGGCATGACTCTAAGTCGTCTCTCATTATCTTCAGATTTTTCTTCAGGGAATGCAAACTTTCACTTATTTCATTCTCTGCCTTTT